AGAGTTTCCTCTGGATATGTACCCAGGATGGGATTGCTGAATCATATAGTAAATCTATTTTTAGTGTTTTTAAGGACTCTCCATTGTGGCTGCATCAGTTTACATTCCCACCCACAGTGTAGGACGGTTCCTGCTTCTTCATTTACCACTCACAGCTCCCAACAGCAGCCAGTGGAGAACCTTGACTCCCTGTGAAGTCCCTGACTTAGCTGAGTAGTTATGCACTAAGCATTCGAGTAGGATGTTGGTCTCAAACCCTTGGGAGCTCCCTTAAAAATGCCAGAGGAGGATTGAGGGATACTGTTGTGTCCATCTCTGGAGGAATTACTGGCTGGATAGACTAAACTTTTATAAATAGCCTCAAAGTGGGAGAGCAAAATACATAAGTAGAAGACATAGATTAAAAAAGATGTAAGACCTGCTAAGATGCCAAGGCTTGTAAGAGGGTGGTGCAAGGAGGCAGACAGGGAAGGCAATCCATTCCCTTTGTAGAATAAACTTTACATTTTCCAACAGTTCTGAATTTACAGAAAAATTGCAAAGATGACAAACAGAGAGTTTCCATGTAGTCCACACCTAGCTTCCTCCGTTATTTCCACCTTACGTTAGCATGGTGCATTTTTCAAAATTAATGAGCCAGTATTGGTACATTATTAACTAATTAATTCTGATTTCCTTAGTTTTTACTTAACGTGCTTTTTTCTGCCCCAAGATCCCACCCGGAATCCTACCTCGCATTTAGTGACCGTGTCTTCTTAGGCTCCTCTTGGCCATGACAGTTTCTTGGACTTTCCCTTGTGTTTTGATGACCTTGACAGTTTGAGAAGTCCTGGACCAGTATTTTGCAGAACATCCCTCAACTGGAATTTGTCTGTTGTTTTTCTCATGATTAGATTTTATATATATTATATTATATTATATTATATTATATTATATTATATTATATATTATCACATGAGGTTATAGATTTGGGTGAGGAAGACCCCAGAGGAGAAGTGTCATTCACATCACCTTGTGTCAAGGGAATATACTGAACATACTACTGACCTGACTTAATCCTGCTGGTGCCGACCTTGCTGGGGTAGCGTGTGTCAGGTTTCTCCGCTGTCAAGTTACCTTTTCCCCATTTCCCTATGTCCTCTCGGGAGGAGGTCACTACGTGCAGCCCACACCACAGAGCAGGGAGTAATGTCCCTCCTGGAGGGAGGAGTAACTCCATCAATTCTTAGCCCTGGGCTGTCTCGGCTGTACCACTGACCTGCCCCGGAATCTTGACATCATATACGCATGAGTTTCCCAACAGGAGTGGGAAAGTTTTCTTTCTTCTGCTCTGAGTAGACTGTTAAAAAAAAAAAAGTCAAACGGTTATAAAACCGCAGTAAAATAACGGGTCCCCAGAGTGTCCCTCCTCCTCTGTGATTGCGTGGCCAGTGCTGAGCTGTGTGACCAGAGCCCCTGAAATGACCTGCTCTCCCGTGAATGCCCCAGATGCACCTGGGGCAGGGGAGATGAGGCCCTGGGGATTTATGAGTGGGTCCCAGCTCTGGGGAGAACGCCACCAAGAATTTTTCCACTCTGTGATGAAAGGAAAGGCTCTTCTGGGCTGGGCTGTGGAGTGACGGGCAAAAGAGATTTGGAAAAAAACAAGATCTGGCTACTACCTGCAAAGGTTATTTTTACTGCACCGGCCCGGTCATCTATTAAAATACTGTCATTGCCAAAGTGCTGTCCGGCCCTTGGGAGACGTTATGGGTGCTTTTCATTCTGGAACTCACTGCTGTGCGTGTCTCAAGGAGCTGAGCGAGAGCCTGGCCAAGGTCAGGCAGTCCCTGCCAGCGGAGGTGCTAAGGGCCAAGGTTTGTTCATTGCGTCATGCTGCTCCGCTGTCCGGGCCACGCACTCCACCCCGACTCCGGCACCTGGGCTGCAGGACGACAGCGCTCGGGGTTGCTCCATCCTTGAGCTGCCCGCAGACTCTCAGACCTGAGATGCAAGTTCCCTGCTGAGGTCACGTGCCCTGTGCATGGATCCATTGCGACTGGACAGAAAATATTCTCCGATGGCCATCTGTGGCCAGGTTCAGAGCTGAGCGAGACTTCTGCATCCTGAATTGAAAAGATGTCTAGTAAGATGTTGCCCTCAAAGTGGCTACTTGAAATTAGCTTCCGGACTCTCCCAAATGCTCGCTGCGGGCTTCCCAGCCTCTTCCAGAGAGATGGCAGAGTGGTGCTGGGGCGACCGAGGGCTGTGCAGGCAGACAAGGCCGGGCTGGAATCCTGTCCAACGGGCGACAGCACTCATTCGCCACCTCAGTTTCTCTAACGGCGGGAGGGGATGACGTGAAGCGATGTCTTCAAAATGTCTGAAAAACAGCGGATTGCCAACAAGACAGTGAGCAAATGGTGAAGAATACATGTCCTCTTCTGGCACAGAGGTCCAGCTCTTGATTCTTAAAAAACAAAATGATTCCACATTTCCACCACATTTTAAAGACAGTCTTCACTTTTTTAGAGCAGTTTTAGGCTCATAGCAAAATCGAGAGGAAGGTATGGAGATTTCCCATATACCCTCTGTCCACACATGTTTACAGCCTCTCCCGTTGTCTGCATCACCCACTGGAGTGGTATGTTTGTTGCCAAGGACGGACCTACACTGACACATCATGGGTGATCACCCAAAGTCCATGGCTTACCTTAGGGGTCACTCTTGGTGTTGCACATTCTATGGGTAAAAATACAATGACATGTAGCCACCATTATAATGTCATACACAGTATTTCCACTGCCCTAAAAATCTTCTGTGTTCTATTCATCTCCCCCCGCCCAACCCCCAGCAACCGCTGATCCTTCTACTGTCTCCAAGGTCTTTTCTAGAACGTCATCTAGCTGGAATCGTATGGTATGCAGCCTTTCCAGATTGGCTTCTGGCTTCTTTCACTTAAGAATATGCATTTAACATTCTTCCATGTCTTTTCATGGCTTGATTGCTCATTTCTTTTTTTAGCACCAAATGGTATTCCATTGTCTGGATGTACCACCATTTAGTTATCCATTCACCCACTGAAAGACATCTTGATTTTGCTTCCAAGTTTTGGCAAATTGTGAATAAAGTTGCTTTAAATATCACATGCAGGTTTTGTTTGGATGTAAGTGTTCAACTCCGGGTAAACACCGAGGACCACGATGGCTGGATCGCATGGTAAGGGTATCTTCAGTTTTGTAAGAAGCCACCAACCTGTCATACAAAGTGGCCGAACCATAATTTTTTATTGAAGTATAGTTGACTTACGATATTATATTAGTTTCAGGTGTACAACATTGTGATTTGGTATTTTTATAGATTATACTCCATATAAAGTTATTACAAAATATTAGCTGTATTCCCTGTGCCGTACATTATACCCCTGTATCTTATCCATTTTATACATAGTAGTTTGTACCTCTTAATTCCCTACCCCTATCTTACCCTTCCTCACTTCCCTCTCCCCACCGTTAACCATTTGTTTGTTCTCTATCTGTGAGTCTATTTCTGTTTTGCTCTGTTTTTTTTTTTAGGTTCCACATATAAGTGAAAACATACAGTATTTGTCCTTTTCTGTCTGACTTAATTCACTAAGAATAATACCTTCCAGGTCCATCCATGTTGTTGCAAAT